CTATTGGTATAAGAAAAGCACATTTTTTTTACCACCTGCAATAAATCCAGCCACTAGCATAGGTACTACTATTGAACTGTCTCCACCAGGTAGATATTTTCATTTTTGCTGGTTTGCAATTGAAAATAAGGTACAAAGCCTTTGGAAAAACACTTGACTTTTAAGGAACACCTTGAAGGTTTCCTCCAACAGAATTCATTAATTCAAAGTCACTGTATTTTACCATTTGAAAATTTCCCAGCAAAATGAGCGAGTGACTTTCATTTATTGCTAACCTGTACCCCTTTCAAAGCACCGCTTGAACTTTAGCTGAGAATCATTTTCAGCTATTTTGTTTGCCATTTCTCTCAGGAGATCTAACAATAAATTATACTTCAGAGAAGTTCTAAGTAAATATGTTCATGCCTCAGCACTTTAATGTGTAAATTAGCTATTAACTGTGTCAGTAAATTAGACCTGTCAAAAACAATGGCCTCCTTAACTTGGTTTTTACTACCACTTCGCTTGATGGTGTAACTTATAAGTTTTGCCCTCAGGAGGGGAACTGCTAAAAAGCAAGATTGTAGAGTTCTGCCTTGTGGAAAGATAAACTCTGAAAGAGTTGTTTAAAGTCATCTATGGCCTAATTCTGTGGGCGTTCTAAGGACTCATACCCTAATTTACAAACCTCAGGCTTACCAACAACTCAGCTGGCTGGCAGGGGAGTTTATCCTCTGCTCTGTGTTCCCCATTTCAGAAAATCTGGCCAATGATTTTCTGTGTAAGTTGCCTTCTTTTGTACATGTGAAAAGTTAGCAAGTTATTACTACTGTTCTCTTGCTGGAAAGAGGTATTCTCACCTTCCAAATTGGGTCTGTTTGGTACAAAAGGACCCAACCTAATCAGAACCTGTATTCTTCATCTGTCCTCTAATGCTTGTGCCAAGAGATCAAACCAGGTCCTGCTGCCAGTCGGGATAGGAAATCTCAAAGCGAGAATTCTCAGGGGAAAAAAAAGTTATGGGCAGTAGTTATGTAAAGCTTAAAGACTACTGTTATTTTCCCAGCCATATTAAGGATTGAGTGGGTTGGCCTGGGATTCTACCCACTGTTTACCATCTGGGAAATTCCTTCCCTGTTCTAAATGACCAGATTGTAGAGTTTAACCTTTGGTAAATTCCAGACAACTTGCATTTTCCATTAATAAAGCTTGCCAGGTAACTAAAGTAAATGCAAATTATGGTGCATGCAAACATTTTCTAGGAAAAACCAGTATCTGCAAGGAGAGCCTTTTAAATTTCTATTTGTGTATATGTATATGAGGCTGCCCCTCCTTTTTGTTTAATGATTGCAAATAGAGTCAGCTAAAATATCCAAAACTATAGATTAAAATGTATTTCAAAGAAATAATGAAAGCACTCTGTCCTAGCTGCTCTGGTGGTAAATGGGGACCAGGTTTGGGTTATCCTTACTGAATCTCTTTAATATTGCAAGGGACTGACAGGCTTCCTGTCCCCTGGGCTCTGGCTGTCCCCTGGGCTCTGGCTAAGGAACTTGAAGGCTGACGTTTAAAATAGAGCTGGCTCAGGAGTTGGCAGCAGAGACCCAAATAGCCCTGCAGCGCGATTATTGCTATCAAAAGAAGCCTTCATTATTTTGTTGTGCTAAAAATAAGTTTCTTTTGCTGTTTTTGATAGCCACAGCATTAGTGAAATTATTTTTTGAGTAAGTAGCTCACACTATACAATGGAAGGTCATTGTTATCACAGTCTGTATTCGTGGGGGTCTAAAGTATTACAGTTAAGTAGAGCAGCTCCTGTTTGCCCTTCAAAATGCCCTTTGAATAGGACTAAAACTTCAAATTTCATTCTTTCCCAAAAAATAAGTGGAGTGGAGGCCACCAAACATTTACTCCCTAAAGTCACGACTACCACGGTTTCATAATTGTTTAGGCTTTGTCTGAACACTAATGATGAATGACTTGCCGTACCTTCGCATTTAGGAGTTTTTTCCGACTAAGAAGTTTTCATTCCAAATGTAAACCTGAGGTAGGTGTATGTTCACTTGCTTAACAAATATTTACTTACACCTAGTATGTGCTGTTATCCCTATTTCAGAGTGAAATATGGCCCTGTTTCAAACTGAAATGAAAATGACTTATGTGGTAAAAGTTTATTAGTTTATGCCATTATTAATTTAAAAACTTGGACAAAAGCCACGCTGAAGTTTACCATCATCCTAGCTGTGCAAATAAAAATACGTGACCAGGAAAATGAATGGAATAGGGAGGATAGCCAAACAAACTGACAGGACACACTTCTCAGCAGTTGATTTAATCTTTATAACTTACTCTTCTACAAAACAGAGCTTTTTAAAAACCCCATCTTATTAAATGTGCCCTAAGAATATTATAATACCATGTCACTAAAATACTTTTTATTTATTTGTTTATTTTGAGACAGAGTCTCACTTTATCACCCTGGGTAGAGTGCTGTGGCATCACAGCTCACAGCAACCTCCAACTCCTGGGTTTAGGTGATTCTCTTGCCTCAGCCTCCCAAGTAGCTAGGACTACAGGCGCCTGCTGCAACGCCCAGCTATTTTTTTGTTGCAGTTTGGCCGGGGCCGGGTCTGAACCTGCCACCCTTGGTATATGGGGTCGGTGCCCTACTCACTGAGCCACAGGTGCCGCCCAAAATATTTTTTATTTTTGAGATAGAATCTCACTTTGTCACTCTCAGTAGAGTGCCATGGCATCAGAGCGTACAACAACCTCAAACTCTTAGATTCAAGCAATCCTCTTGCCTCTGTCTTCAGAGTACCTGTTGACAATAGGCACCTACCACAATGCTGCCTATTTTTTTGGAGATGGGGTCTCACTCTTGCTCAGGCTGGTGCTGAACTCCTGAGCTCAAGCAATCCACCCACCTCGGCCTCCCAGAGTACCAGGATTACAGGCATGAGTCATCTCCTACTAAAACACTTCTTAATTTAGAATCCTCACAATTCATATGAAATTCCAGTTAGCTTCATTCATCAGCTTTCACTGATATTGGAAGGCTTGACCCCCCGGGACCTCTTGCTGCACAATATAAAACTTAATAATGTCAAAGACATTGAAACATTATTTAAAAGAAGTGATGAACAAAGAAGTTAGAGGGTTGTAAGAGTGAAAGGCGTTTCTCATGGGGACAGTTAGCGTTGTATACATTGTGTGGTCTGATCTGAGAGGGAAGCTGTTTCTGCCACTGACTCACTCACCTCTGGTATAGCTGTAACCTTTGCATGCCTGGCTTTCCTCATCAGTGAATGTGGGGATTACACTCTGAGATCTAGCCTGAGGGGATGTCTAAGCTGAACTTGAGACATAGAATAGGCACTCCATCCAGGGTCACTTGCTGGTCTTTTTTGCTTATCTTGCCTCATGTTTTAACCATTACGGTTACTTTTTCTTCGGAAAACAGAGCAGTCGTCCAGAATGACAATGTAAAATGAAGATTCCTCCCTGGACAGCCTCGCGAGTTGTGTTAACGGAAATGACCTCCTTTAATTGCAGGTTATATCCAGGCATGTAGAGGACTTATGATCGCTGCTGTCAGCCTGGGCTTTTTTGCTGCCATATTTGC